GACACTGAAACTGAATTATACGTTTGTCATCTTTGTTTAGTAAAGCCTTATGACTTTATCTTACAATAGCTATCTTTACATGGACATAAGTAATCAGATTAAACGGCCAGTTGGAATAAAAATGTGTCATGTAAACACCCCATTCGGATTATTTTTTGTTGATTCAGCTCGATCTGAAATAATTTGTAATCTGAATGAGACGGGTGGTTTATGCCGATTCATAATTTGAACGGCATGCATGTAAACACTTAATCTGTTCATTTTATTCTGATTGTGGAAAACTGACCTGACTGCGCATGTGCAAACTACGTCTACCTGACGTATTTCCGCCTGCCTGTCTAATGTTAATAATGTAAAGGCTCCAGTATACTCCCATGACCTGTCAGCCGCGCAGAAACTGCGCACTGTGCACAGAGGGTTGAGACTTCATGCTCGAGCGGCCACCCTGAGTGGATGCAGAGCAGCTCCCCAGACAAGGGGCGTTTACCTTCGGGATAAATTGAGGTCGCCGATTGGCCATTTGCTGACACGCCTACTGGATTGATTGACAGGTTAAAAAAAACAAAAAACGAGAGCTGGCAGGCAGCCGCAGCGGTGTTCTGTGTGTATATAAAAAGTTCTAAAGAATAATAATAAAAAAAAAATAAAATAAAAAAACAGGGAGTGCTGGTCCTGCAGCCTACACATCAGATCAGCCCACCAGGAAATCTCCAGACCCTCTTGCAGCCATGCAGGACCTGATGTTAATTCACTCGTGACGAATTCCTTCATTTCTCATCATTTCAGTCATGGCATCAACGGAAGACGAAGAGATCGCTTGCCTCTTGGCAAAAAAACTAAAGAAAAGGCCAAATCAGTGATGAAGAAGGGGAATTTAATACATTTGTGTCGCATACTAAATAGTCCGTCGCTGGGCAGTTTAGTTTATTGTGCGACACCATGTACACGTACGCGGTTGTAAAAATTGAGCTTTGCGCGGACATGTCCTGTGGAGGTACACACTTACCTCAGCGGATGGACGTACGCGGGAGTATACTGGGGGCTTTAGCATGTCGGGGAACCAAACTGGTCGTGAGCCACACAACATTTCTCCATTTTGGTCCATTTTGGGCGCTCAGGTTTGTTTACGTTCATCCCGGAAGTAAACCAGAAGTAGAACTTTTTCTTCTGTGTTTTTTAAGGAGAGTTTACCACTCTGCGCATGTCAGTACTTTTGTTCAGAATAAAAGCCCACTGCATATAAATGCTCGTCGTGAACAGATGTCTGGTCATGGAGATGTTAAATCAGGCCATTCAGGCTCTCCAACAACCACAGGCTGACTTAAATGCTGAGAGAAGGATGGCTGCGATCCACTTTTCTTGCAAATAAACACGGAGCAACTTTCCGCTTGTAAATTGAAGCGGTTCGACGACACACATGCTGCACACTAGTTCACACAACACAGATACATGTGAACCTCATCTGTGGGCGTAACCACATATGTCTGTGTTTTACCTGCCTGCGTGCTGAAGCCATGTGTCACATTACAGCCAATCACCAAAACTTGACACTGAAAGACAAGCCATGTTTTGATACTTACACCACCATAAAAGAACCAAAGTTGGGTACTCAGCCTTGTTCTCATTATGTTTGTTTCTTAACGTTTCACACCTGAGTTCTGTTACTGCGTTCCACACTTGTACTTTTTAATCATTATTATATCTGCTGACTGGCTTTCTTTCATATCCTACAGGGGATTGTTTCAACACCTGTTAGTTCCACATTTTGTTTGGTCTGTTTGGAGTCTTGCTTGTGGCTGTCTCCCCAGATGCTGAAAATATGGTAATTGGATTTATGATAACAGGATTTCTGCTTTTTGGAGTTGGTGGTTACCTGGCATATCGACAAATTCGAAAAGCAGCTATCCTAGCCATTGTGAAGTTGCCTGGCCTGTATGAGGGGATGTGCCGTACTGTGAACACTCAGACTCAAATGCTGTTTGAGCTGAGCCGTAAGCTGGACACAATTCTTGCTGAGAATCGCAGGCTACTTGCCGCTCCTGAATCGCTGGCGGGAAGGAATATATCTTGGAGAAATTGCAAGCTCGGCTCGGCGGAATTGACCACAAATTTGGCTGTTTGGATTATATGTACTAGTGAGACTATAAGGCAGACGGAAATTAAGGGAGTCGGCCTGACCCAAAACAACTGTTGTTATCTGAATTTGGCTCTCTTTGTCAGCCTGGGAAGACTGACTATCTCAAATTCTCCTGGATGTTATGTGAACAAGATGCTCTGCTCTCCCTGCTCCCCCTACCCATTCCCTTTCCCAAGGACATCTATGGACCTGTGGTACAGCTCTACCAAGGCGGCTGATAAACACACCATTGCTTATCATGGACTATGGCTATGACTCAAACTCGCCGCCTTGACTGGCCTCCCTCCTTTTGAACCCCTGGTATAGTAACCTAGGTTAGATGCAAAGGTGCCAGGTGGCTGCATTGCTCACTTGGGCAGCCTTTGCTAAGAGCCCCCCCCCCCCCCCCATCCCCACTCCATCCTCACCCACTCCACGTGCATATGTCTTATTATGTCATCTGTATGTTGCTTTTCTGTGCTGAGGTTTTTTTTTTCAACTTCACACTGGACACTGTGAGATATGATTCCCCCCCCCCCCCCTCTTCTTCCCTTGTGTTTTCCTTTTCCTTATCTAATGAAAAGGGCAGCACCTCCAATGATGGCTGCAGCCTCAGGCACCCATCTACCCATGCTTGTCTTTTTGTTTCTTTGGACGGGCTGTTCTGAACTGCAATGACATTAAAGGCTGATTCTGATTCAATGTCAGCTTCTCTTTGTTTCCTGACTCAACTTGAAATTTGAGAAATTAAATTTAAATTTGAGAATGATATTTTAAGTGTATTTTAAGTAGGGATGTACCGTTCCACTTTTTTTTTTTTTACTTCCGATCCCGATCCCTAAATCTGGATATCGCCTGATACTGTTCCGATATCATCATCATTATTGATTTTATATGAAGCTGTAATTATCTCCTCTCTATAGGCAAGTACAGTTTGTATTGATATGTGCATGCATGTCCAAAATGGCAACTTGAGGTAAGTTTTATTAATGTTGGATAAGTTTCAGTTAGAATTAAATCCTGCTAACGTAAAACATGTTAGTGTTTTTTTATTCCTAGCTTTAAAGTGGATATTCAAGTGATTAAATGGCTTTAAACATCTACTAAGTTCATGGCATAAACTAACACAGACATGGTCCCGTTTTTCTCCTCACTTTCAAAACTCTCCATAACTTGACGCCTCAATACCTCACTGATCTTCTTTGCTATTACACACCTGCCCGAAGTCTTCGCTCCTCCCTATCTATCTCTCTTGTAATACCTCCTGCCTGCATGACAACCATGGGATCCAGAGCCTTCTCCCGCAAAGCCCCTCGTCTCTGGAACTCTCTTCCACAGCACATTTGTAATTCTGATTCTCTGCCATGATTTAAATCTAACCATAAAATTCACTTTTTCAAACTTGCTTATTCTGTTTAATGTCATTATGTATTTTATCATTATTTGCATTTGATTTTATTGATATCTGTATTTTATTGTTTTTTGTTTTTTATCTTTGTATTTCTTGTTTGGTGACCTTGAATGATTTGAAAGGCACCTTCAAATAAAATGTATTATTATTATTTAGCATTTTACATCATTTTATAATGTAGCTGTTTTTGTTTCATTTTTTTAGATGTATTTATAATTTTCTTGTATTTTTCAATTCATATGCTTCTTTATGATTATTGTTGTACTAATAAATATCTCCTGGAGGGTAAACTATATCTTGGCTGCAAGTATCAAGCTGTGAAATCCTTCGTTTTCTACAGCTGATAGCAGTTGGTCATTAATTACGATGAAGTTTAGCAGCTTCTTGGTGAACATTTGAGCTCCGTGGCTTCTGCGGTGTGTTTTTATCGTTCAATTCGAAGCAGGGAGTCTGATTTCGGTCAGCCGCGCTTAG